CAGGTTGTTCGAATAATAAAGCCAACGAACAAGGTTTTCATCGACGTTTTGTCGAAGTACGAATGCATCACAAGAGTCGACTACCAAAACGAGCGCAGCTTACACTATGTCCAACACCACATAACTACTAGTGCTCCACCAATATGCGCTAGGTCGAGAAGACTACCGGCACACAAGTTAAAGAGAGAAGTTGAACACATGATGCAACTAGGCATTATTCGGCAATCTAGTGGCCCATGGGCCTCGGTTTTACACATGGTTCCGAAGAAAGTCCAGAACCCCAGACAGATACCGAATTCCTCATCTGCACGACTTTTCCCTGGATCTACATGGAAAACACATTTTCCTGAAATTTGACCTTGTGAGAGCATATCATCAAATTCATATAGCACCAGAAGATATCGAAAAAACAGCCATAATCGAACCTTTTGGTTTGTTTGAATTCTTACGAATGCCATTCAGGCTTTAAAAAATTCTGCACAGACATTTAAACGATTCATGAACGAAGTTATAAGAGGTTTAGACTTCGTGTTTGTTAGTATCGAGGATGTTTTGATAGCTAGCTCATCCACAGAAGAGGATGTACATCATTTACACATCCTCTTTGAGCGTTTCAAAAAGTATGGCAATGTGATTGACCCTTAAAAGTTCATATTTGACGTGTCAGCTTTAGAGTTTCTGGGACATAACATCGACTCCCAGGGAATTAAACCACTACAGGAAAAAGTGGAGGCTATCATTCACAACCCTGCGCCGAATTCATTAAAATCAGTACGTTGATTATTTGGCAAGTGCAATTTTTAACGACGTTTCCTACCTAAATGTGCAGACACATTACAACCCCCAACGGATCTTTGGAAGCTAGACAAAAATGAAACGAAGTCAAATGAAGACGAACTCTTCACACTGCATCCGGACGCTAAAACGGCTTTTGATAAAGCAAAATCCATGATTTCAAATGCCGTCATTTTACATCACTTACTCTGACCCTACGACTCACATAATTCTCAGTACCAGTGCATCTCAGAAAGCAGTAGGTGTAGTATTGCAACAGTGGATAAACGACTTGATTACAGCTATAGCGTTCCGCTCTAAACGACCATCGCCAACTCAAGAGCGTTATAGCACATTCGGTCTCGAGCTACTAACTATATATTTAGCAGTAAGGCACTTCAACTTTTTATTACAACGACGCAAATTCACCGTAAAACTTCGTGTTATATTCTTACCACGTCATACGACGGACACTCACCACGACAACTGGATTATATTTCACAATTTACAACAGACATCCAGTTCATTAAAGGATATTTCAACATCGTAGCAGATGCCTTATCTATAAGGATATCAACATACTGGTACATAAACACGATATTAGCCTTGAAACTATGGCTGCAGACCTGAAAACCTGCAAAGAAAAGTCCAATTTTGTTTTCAAGCCTGTACCTACATCTTTCTCAGATTCATCTGTTATTTGCGACGTTTCGAACGGCAACAACCGCCCTTTTATACCAAAAGCTTGTCGACGACCGATATTTCAACAGCTAAACGAACTTTTACATCCTGAAGTACCAGTCACAACAAAACTCATCACAAAACGTTTCGTCTGGCCTAAAATCAACTCCGATGGAAAGAGGTGGACACGAAGTTGTGTGCAATGTCGGAGTAGCAGTGTTCAAAGAAATACAATCCGATACATTGGAAAGTTCTGACTACCCGACAAACGCTTTTAACATATTCATTTATATATAGTTGATCACCTACCACCATCAAACGCCTTCACACATATTTTCACAGCAGTGGACAGGTTTAATAGATGAGCGATAGCATGCCCTGTCAAAGATAAATCTGCAGAAATAGTCGCATCCGTATTCCTTGACTGCTGGATATAAAATTACGGAGTACCTTCAACTGTTCTACAGACCGTTGTCCCTAGTTCCAATCCGTCGCACTTCAGGAATTTACCGAAATTCTAGACGTAAACAGCATCAAAACGACAGCTTATCATCCAGTAGCTAATAGTCTGGTAGAAAACTTTCACCGCTAATTGAAAATCTCACTGATGGAACAAGCTGATACATCGAAGTGGAGCGACACTCCACCACTTATACTGTTGAGAATCCGTTCAAACATCAAGAAATATATCGGTTGTACATCCTCTGAACTGGTTTTCGGTACAACTCTGACATTGCCAGGTCAACTAGTAGACCCAGGCGCTACAATATCAACTGACCGGACTCTTTTTGTTAATCGTCTACTGCAAACGATGCAAAATATCGAAGCAATACATTTGAGCTTACATAACAATCGCGTACAAGTGAATAAACGCCGGTTCCCCAAAACTTTCTACAGCGGTACCCTCAAAACTTACCCCAAACGAGTCAAATTTTTCCGAAATTGGGAGGTTGGTTCAAAAACCTCACAAGTTGAATGAATATCTAACTTTTCCATCGCAGGCTCCATCCCGAAGCCAATATGATTATTATGAGTATTTGAATTCTAGTACAAACCATGAATCCCAGAAATAACGGAATTTAACCGAGAAATGTTAAATGAGCGTGATTAGACGTATTGTATTTGGAATTCGAAATCAAGCATTCAACAAGTACAAAAGAATCGTTAGTTCATACAAACACTACAAACACCTAATTACTTGCCTAATTAAACGCTTTACCCATCATGAAAAAGCCACCTATCAGGATCCCACAATGGACTCCTTCCTGGGCAATCGTTTCAAAGTTTTCCAAACTACTATCCATTCTTCTGACGTCCACCTTTGATTCCTGACCCAAATTGTCCTTTGATCTTCTTATTTTGCGAACTTCACGTTGAAGCTTACCTCTTAATGCAGTTTGATGACTCGCGCAGTATGCCATTTCCATCTACAGTATCTTCCCCTAAATAACTCTTTAATTGAAAGCTACTGTGCTCTCTTCCATAGTTGGCTTTCGCTGATGGAATCCAGCCAGCTAACAGTGAGTTTCTTGAGTAGACATTTGTTTACAAATACATGTGCTTTTGGAATGATTATTGTAGTATTTCTCCAAGTTTCAACTCCGTACAGTACAACCATCTTGACGTTTGTATTGAAGCCTCTGACTGTGATGTTGTCTGACAACTGTTTCGAGTTACACTTGCTCTTCAACAGTAGGAATTCTGCTTTTGCTTCGCCAGTACCTGTCCTCACGTCCGCATCATATCCTCTCTATTCATCGATGATGCTGCCCGGGTATAGGAAAGTTTCCACCTCTTCCAGAGCCCCATCAAGCGTGATTTGGTTGATGCTCTGTGTTGTTTTTCGGGACTTTGATTTTTCTCTTATATATGATTAAACGTGCTGCTGCTACATTGACTGTCCACACCTGAAATTGTTGGTCTGTATGGGATAGAAGAGTTAGGTCACCTGCAAAGACCAAATCAAGTAGGTTCATCCAAGCCGTTCATTGTATTCCGTGCTTCCCATCAGATGTCAAGGTCTTCACGATCCAATCGACCACCAGAAGAAATTGAAAGGGTGAGAGTGATCATCTTTGTCTGTCTCCAGTCTTCACTTGGAATGCGTCTGTCAGCCGTCTTCCATGCACGAATTAACAGTGTCTTCCGTCGTATGATGTTGACGGTTTTCTCAAGTACACCATAGTGTTGGAGACGGTTCCATGAGGTTCTCCTATCCACCCTGTCAAGTGCTTCCTCATGGTCAGGGGAGTTGATGTACCGTGACAAATTCCATTCAATTGACTGTTCGGCGATTATCTGTATTGTCGTGTTTCGTTCTGTACATGAACGATCCTTATGGAATCTGATCTGTTGACCTTGAAGTTGGGTGTCTACTGAGTCTTTCATCCGGTTCAGCAACGATCTGTCAATATTTTTTCATGTTACTATTAGTGGCATGATGCCTCCTTAGTTCTCACACTTGACAAGAGATGTGCTTCTTTCAAGTATGTCAGTGGCACTTGTTCCTCCTCTCAAATCTTGCTGAATGGAACGTGGAGCATGTTTGCAGTTGCTTCTATGTCTGACTTCAGTGCATCAGGTGAAATATTGTCAGGTCTTGCTGCTTCCTTATTCTTGATTTGTTATGATGTACTCCCCGAACTTGACGTTTACATCTTCCATCGGAACGACCGGTTCGTTTCCCGAGCACTTCTCTGCAACTGACTGAAGCCTATCATAAAGCCGATCCTCATTGTCTTCATTGCTAACATTAGTGGGTGCATGACATTGATTACCATTCTTCTGCATGATCAGAGTACAACAGCATCTCTCTCTAATTCAGTCTTTTCTGTCCAGTTTGGGTCTAAATGGTTTCAATTATTTCTAGAGTCGTAGCTATTTGACTTATCTCCCTGGTCTCTCACACATTCCAGGCACCCATTAGTCTGCACTTCATGTGAAGACAGTTCAGTTCCAACACTGAGAAATGTTTTGAACACTTTTAAGTGTAATCACAGACGCGCCTCAAAGTTACAACGTTGTTGTGTACTTTTCCTTAGAAGAGAGATCAATATCATAAACTAAATGAATAGACAGGCAAAAAGGGGTTGACAGGGCCGAGGAACAAATTATATGAAGACAACTTGGACCCGCAACTGTCCTCAATGAGCAATGGGAGAATAAGAGTTTGTCTGATAGTGGCACATAATACAAAATGTACCCGAATTCACAAGACCTGGATATGAATGACAAAACAGAACGATCACAATTTGCTAACAGTGAGAGAAAATTTAAGTAGGCAACATCCTCCGTCTTATTGGGAGAGCGTGATAATACACGTTTTATGAATTATTCAGATCGATGTCACGAGGAAGACTGGAATCACACATCATTAAAGAAACTGATTCTTACCTATCTGCGATCTCTGTTCTTGAATATACTGGGCATGCGTAGTTGACAAACTGGTGAAGATTTGCTCATATTAATCTTTTAAAGTCGCTAAATGCTTTCTGGAAAGCATTATAAAACAAAAAACTCTTTGTTCAATTTTAATCACCTTAACTGTTCACTTACATTGAACGAAGTGTTTCAGCAACTAAAAGATTTCCCAAGTAACCAAAAAGGGAGATTTGTGGATAACGTTGGGCAAATATTGAAGAAAAAGTTCTAATTCTGGAGAAAATTTAAATTTTCGCTGTAGGTGTGAATCATGATCGTGACCAAAAGCATTGAGCGTCTTGCTGTGAATAAACAACCCCTACAATTGCATTTCATTGGGTTCATTGAAACCATTTTATTTTTAGGATCTAATACGATCTTCAAGGAAGCGGGTACAACCGCATGTTGCCAATCGACATTAGCTGAAAAACAATTAAAATGTCTACACTAAAAAAGAGAGCTGACACACTTAAATGATTTTTAACGTTATTTTTGGCTTTCATACGTCAACAGACCACTTAATTGTGCGAACACTAACAACTCATGCAAGCTAACACGTACTCCAGATACAGGATGCCGGGTTCGAACCAAGCCATTCAAGGTCGTGGAGGCAGGTTTGATCCCATGGTTTCCAGCATAGTCCTGGAAGGATGTGGTAATTTTAGGGTGAAGATAGCGCTTAGTCTAATCAGCTGTAAAAAACTTGTTTTAAAACGTATTCGCCACAAAAACGATAGTCCAGGAGTGGATGATGCTGAGGTGTGCTTACTGAAGCTTGCTGATAAAATATCTAATGGAACAGTAATAAAAATAAATGATACAGGTTATTCTAACACTTGCCATTTCAGTTTTAAATAGGTACTATTGTGTCTGTTTCCCCAGGGACTCTGATTGGAGGCAGTTTTAGTTTCGAATGTTCAAATAGTCGTGGTATCGGTTATTATTTGGAATTCCTACTCATGGTTGCACCGTTTTGTAAAACTCCTATTGAATCAACTTTGGTCGGGGTTTCGAATGTTCCCCATGATCCGTCTGTAGACATGATCACACAGTCGTGGTTACCTACCTACCGCATCTCTGTTGGTTTAAGTGCTGGCGCCTCAACAAAAATCGATATTCAGAAACGTGGTGTATATCCTGGTGGCGGGGGTGAAGTATTGTTCTCTTCCAGGCCTTGTAGTGGTGTTGTTCCAATTGACAAGATTGATGTTGGAAAAGTTTATAGGTAGGTAAGAGGTTTCCTTGAGTGTTCTCCTTAGTGATTCTGTAATTCATCAAGTATTTGGATAATTTCCATCTCTTGTCTGTTACTTCCTTACATTTCCTAAACTGACTACAGCCGAACCATTTTTACATTTAACCAGCCACATCTGTATTGTGCGCGAACTCACAAAGTTGTCAGAATGATCGTATATTGAATTTACATAATCCATGTGCATGTCATACATATTAGCTTTAGTTAATGGTGTTGATATCGAATAGAAACTTGATTTAACATATATTTGAGCCTGGTTGAATTTTGATTTTGACTATATCAACTGTTGAGTACTCTCATTTCCTTGTAAATTTTATTTAATATTTGCTCAGTTCCCAGTACTAAATCATCAAGTTAAACCACGCATTCGAATCCCATCCATATTTTAGCAAATCAGTCTTATGAGTATTTTCTGTGGTCCCCATGAGATTGTCACTACTCGCTCAGTGCATACATTAACACTGGTTCATGTTATCATTTTAACATTTGCTAACCAGACACTTAGTTACTGATCTACTAAGAAGACTTTTAAAGGTTTATTCTATTTGTATATTGGCTTTTAAAGACAAGGAATTTTAATTTCTTTTGGTTGAGTAATATCCTTTAGAGCTGATGCCTAGCGATTTTCTGCTTTCACCAACTTGCTTCCGAAATCATCTGTTGAGTTTTTTTTTGACTAGGTGGTTTTTACTCAAGATAACCCAACTGAATGGCTTGAAACGTTATTGAAAATGACTCAGAACAAAGGCCAGTGATGATCCTGCTGTAGCTTTCTGGGATACTTCATAATAGTTATATAAGCTGACCGTAACTGTTAGGGACAATTTTTGAGCTAGATTTTCTATAGAATACAATTTCTTCATTGACTACACCACCTTTTCTTCCATCACTAAGCAAATTGCTGCCTTATCTGTATGACGGTATCGTATTTCACTAGAATTTTTTTGAAAAATTAATATGAAACGTCCATGTTTAAATGCTGACTGTCTACTGGCTTAAATTCGATTAATTTCCCATGATAAATTAAATTTTTTAAATACTTCTAAATTCACCTAATCAAAACGACTAATTTTTCAGAGTTCGTGGTATTGCATGGAGCTGTCGTGTAAGCTCTTCATACGGACAATCCTTAGTGTCTGGTGCGAAATCAGTTCTCAATCAATTTCTAAGTGATGTATACTTTACAATAGATCATCGAAAGGTTAGTTTATGATTAAAAATGATCAAATGCTATGTATGTTTTAATGTTAAAATTTAGGCTATTTTTGTTAGTTTCGTTCCACGTATAGATCAAATCGTGTTTTGCTGAGTTCTTTTGCCACATGAGTATTAGTGCTTGTCAGCTGTTTCATGGCTTTTGAACTGAAATTTTATAATGTTCTTATGTTGACGCGTTTCGATGACATGGCTTTATATTTGTTGGACCTCTACTGTTTAAAGCCTGACCGTTTCTGCTACCTTGACGAGGTGGCGGGCTTGTCTATCGTAATGAACTAATCGAGCTATACTGGCTGGAACAATCATTACTCAAAGTTCTACCATGCTAGGCAGGTCTGTTGAAGAGCGGTAAGACTAGAAGTAGCAAACCCAAGGTCCGATAGCGAAGTCGTGCTGCTGACTGTACAGAGGTGTGACGGTAGTAAAGTGTTTCCTTCAAACAGCCAGCACAACAGCAATGCTGCCTTCTCACAAGGAGGAGTGCGGTTAGAAAAAGTCGGCCCTTAATATACACACTTCGCCTTATCCCACGGATATCCGTCTCCGACTGCAAGGTCCCAACAAGTACGGAGTTAACACGAAAACTACTCACAAAAGGTCGTGTGTGACTGGCCTCAAGCAGTTGTCTCTTGGGCACTGCGGTCACGTTCTCAGGTCACTAAGACCACCTCTAATCCAACTTCCTTTTCAGGCACCTCCAGAAGAACCCTTCCACGGTGTGGGCAACCGGGAAGTGATAACCGCCCTCATACCTCTAATAGCACTCAAGACCATTGTAGTTATAATCGATCTTCCTCTTTAATTACTATTATTTCTCCTACCTCGACGTTCAACTCGAAACTTCCTCCTCATGTGTCACCATGGTGGATACGGAGGATTCTGTATGTTTGTTTCGGAGACAGCATACATTAATGGTACGAGATTCCGGGGTTTTTGTCAAGGAGACCTGCTGGCTGATATGACATAGAGTGCGTACTTTCGAGGCTCCGATGTTTAGTTTGGAGCTGGGTGTCAGTAGACCTGGGAGTGTTTCGCGCACTAGAATAGTTGGCCATAGTGACTTTATTTGTTTATTTAACATATAAACATTAGTACAAGGAAGTACCAAATAGAAATGCGCCATACAAATAATTCGATTTGTGTGAGGGCTGAGATACTATCCGGGTGCTTAAACCGAAGCAGGTGGTTTTCTTAGGGGCCACACCCGGAGCATTCGACCTAAAGATCTGATTCACAAGGCAGTGGAACAGCGTCAAGTGACGCAGCCCTATGATGTCCGTTGACCAACAATAGGTTCATACGCCATTTTTCCCTCAGTATCCTGGAGCTTATTTACACCATTGGTTTTCAAACTCCCCTAGTTGGACACGAAGAGACATTCGCTTTTCGTCGTCTCAATTTCGTAAACAACACCCACACCGCGAGAAGGCATTGAGTAGGACTTCCTTGGCAGTGGTTGTATTCACATGGCCATGTGCGAGCATTTCAAGAGGAAGAACTGACCCCACTTTCGGCCGTACGAGGGCAATAATTATCATACAGTAATTGAAAATGGATAGACGAAAACACCAATCTAAAATTCGGAAATCATTGTACTTTATTGTAACTTATATCAGAAATTTCTTAATCATCAACCTCTGTGTCATTTACTTCACAATTATCGATAGTCAAAAAATAAATCCCAAGCTATTGGGACAGACATTTATTAACAAACAGAATTTTTTTGCAAATCACTTTTAAAATATACATTTATGTGGTTGAGAAGTCATGAGAGCTTCATGATCAAACCATTCATTTTAAAAAGCGCTATGCAATTAAAAGAATAAAGGCGACCACTGAGTTCATGCAAAGTACTAACTTTGATTTAACTGCATGAAAATCTCTGATTTTTTTCATAATTCATATCACAGAGAGTAATTAATGGGCTTGATTTTTGGTCAACTATGGTTGACATACTTTTATAATTCTGTCACCATCTTGAAACATCAACCTTGGTGGCTTGGACATGTTCTACAAATGTCATCCCAGAGAATTCCACGTCGTAAATTATTTGCCGACGCTGGGACTGGTTGGAAAAAGCGGAGAGGTGGTCAGTGTATGACATGGTGTCGTGGTATGAAAGAAATCTACAAAGGGCTGGCTTGTGTTGGTCTTTAACGACTCCCTGACTGGAGTCCGAGAGATGGTGCTACACAGTGGTTAGAGACGGTATCAGAAATGGCTCAGAATAGAAGCTAGTGGCGGTCCTGCTGTAACCTTTTACTTTTCTCATAAAATGTGGTTGTAACTTCCTCAACTGAAGGAATTCTTTCTGGTTGTACCTTTCCGTTTCCTCCAATATTATTATCATTGCTATTATTGTTATTATTATTATTATTACTATTATTATTACACTACCATACACCAATCTGTGGTAGTTATTGTTCTTTTTTTTCTTATATTCATCTTACCTTTTTCTCTTCCCATTCTCATTGTTTTGTGTGGCTCATATATATCTGGTGTCCCCTTGTTTAAAAGGTTCGAATGATTTTTCTGGTTAGTGTTTTTTAGCGAGTTAGTTTTCTACGGGATGGGGTCGCTAACCCCATGCCCAACCCTCCTCCTTTATCCGGGCTTGGGACCGGCAGTAGCCCCCGGAGGGACTCCAGGTGTCCCCTTGTACCAATATTTATATGTTCAAATAAAATAATACTAAATAAAATAATTCTGTCTGATATATTAACTTTGAGTCATAACTATCCATAACATTTTCAGGTTCACCTGACAACTGCAGCTCCTAGGTTTTTCTAAAATACTTGTAAATATGACCTTAAATGTACTATATCATATTGTTTTGTCTAACTGCTCCATAGATCAGCTCATCTTACGTTGTACTCACACCTCCAATGTATATTTCCCATTACTAAAACTTTATATCTGCTATACTTCATTTATTATTCCCCCTATTAGAGGTGATCTAAATGCTAAAATAAAATTGTAGTCGATACACTTTTGTTCTTCAGTCTTTGGTGTTAGAATGTGGACAACAATACACAGTTTTTCATTCATCATTTCTAGTCGAATAAAGTTGGAATCGATTAAATGACTAATTAAAACTGTATTTTTATCTATGCTGGTATTTTTAAATATGCATACCCTTGATATTTACATAGCTAGGCTCAAGTACTTCGGCTTACAGTCGTTTTGCGGTTTGAGTTTTAACTGATTTTTACTTTGCGTTGATGTGTGAGCATACAGCTCAAGATTTTTTAAGATTTAGTGTTAGTTAACATTTTGTGATACTTTTACCAACTTCTTCAGGGTCAATATGCAGGCAAAAGCCCTGGATTTGGTCTGACTCTATGGGCGGAACGTAAAGACGGTGGTGTATATTCTGCAGAAGCGATGTCGGAACCTGAAGGGAGTGATAACGTTCTTATGGATGCAGAAACGATAGGAAAATTAGCAGCAAACCGACTATTAGATCAGGTATTCATTTAGTATAACCTTGCTTTCAATGTTACTCATCTCAGTAGGTTGAATTGACATTTTTTTGTCATTCATGAAGTCGAGAAACTCACTATTTGAACTCAAAAATTTTCATGTATCTAACCAGTAGACTATGCACTTGGAATAGTTACTACTTTCTGTAAGCATTCTATTTCCAAGGTGGATTAGCTTCCATAAAAATTTTGAAATCTATGTATCTTATAACGTAACCCTTTTAAATGATAAAAAAATTATCACTTGAATGAATGCCTAGTCTGTTTATTATCTGGTTTTTGTCACTAAGTAATATCAGACAAAACACCAAGGCCGAAATCTCCAACCTAATAGTATGCATTCGTATTTTCTTAAAGAGTGTTCTTACCAACGATTGACAGGTTATACTATTCTATGGTTGATTATAATAAAATTCGACGTACTTGACCACAACCTTTTTAGCTATCTAAGCATCAAAGAACACTGGAAATCTTTGAATCAATGAATTCAATGATAGTATGGTAAAATGTCACAAATGTTTGTGTTATTCAACCTCAAATTGTCGTAATGTTACTAAATATTGGTAACAAAAATGTTGAAAAACTAGAGATTGTCTAACTAAATCTAGCTTGATTAATTATTCACCAGGTCGGATATTGGAAATCCAACTGATCGGAATCCTTGGGTTAAAATCTTGGTGTATTGTAAATTCAAAACATAATATTACGAAGCATGAGAAGAATCAAGGACTCTATAGCATAAATGTAATTGAATGTCATCGAATATTTGAACTAACTCTTCAATAGCTCATTTTGGAGAATCGGAAACAAACTTTATAGCTTAAATCATCTTTCTCAAGATTTATGATAGCTTTTTTACGTAAACCTTGTTTATAATTCTCTGAGGAATGTTTTCAATCCTTTTACGTATTTTATTGATCATTACGAATTCTCCAATTGAGTCACTATAGATTTTACATCATTATTTACCCATATTGTTTATTCTGAATTATATGAAAATAAACATAGACGTAGTTAGGTCAAATTTCTTCCTTTCAGCCTAGTAGCTTCATGTAGTTAACGTTTTACTAATGTAGTCAGTCATATCAGCATGGAGCTTGGGTTGGCCTAGGTTGCGATACTATATTAGCATGATGAGATGAAGTTAACAAGATAAATGGGAAAGGAGTCGAAATAACGTTGTACCGACTATAGCGTTGTGAATATAGTTTGAATAGGCTGTGAATAGGTTTATCTGAAAGAATACTGGGACTCAAGATTTAGAGAAAGAGTAAATACATTTACGCCATGGTGATTAACATATAGAATAAGCGCAGTTTTCAAAGGAACGGGGAACAATAAAAATTTAATCAGATGTTGTTTGTTGCTAACAATTTAAGTACATATGCATCGCGATCGACCTTGTTTTATGAATTATGTACTCAATTGGTTCATCAATCACCTTCATGTTACCTATCTCATTAGTTGTTAACAAAAATGAACTTCTCAATATTTCCCGATATTATCATTTCCGCTTTTTAGGCTTTTACATCTATCCAGTTGGATTCTTAACCACAGTTTGTATAATATAATTTCTTATGTATCCACTTATCATTGTCTGTACAGAACGACTGTAGCGATTTAATAAAGTTCATTCATTAACCTGTGTTCAAACAATTCACCGAAGCAGTCATTTAATACAAACTGTTCTGTGAATTATCTTTTACAATCGTGTTTGATTTTGTGACTTCTCAACTCAAGTATAAGTACTGTCTTCTTGTAACCCATTTAGCTACAATGAATCCACTTTATTTGAGGTGACTGATTTTATTTTTTTAGATATCTGATCCATATAAGAAGACAACTAGTTTCTTCATAATATCTCCCAAAATGCAAGAGTGATCCTTCATTCAATGTAAAATAAAGCATTCCTCCATTTTCAAACAAAATACTATGCAGCGGAATTCGTAGTTAGCGATAGTTAATCATCAATTTCTCTCAGTATCCTTAAGATTAGTCCAACAGTCATGATGAGGGGCGAATACCTTAACCTTGAAGTCACTCTCTGAGAAATCTAAGTTATCAATTAAAGTTAGGAATTCACTATTACTTTGAATGGTTTAAATTCGATACAAACTAGGATAAGTCGTTTAAGATGTCTTTTTTGGGGTATTATTGGAAATTATATATTACTTCCCCATTTAGTCGAATAATACATGTCTACACATCCCGCATAAGTGTCAGATCATTTTCAATTATTTACCAAAGATTATAGTGCATATACCACGTTGTTATTTTTTGAATGTGCAAGATATACAGAGGGGGCTTCATTGATTCGGGAACCCAGTCGTTGGCTTTCGTTTTAATGGCTTGTGAAAGTGGACGTAATGCTAGCCGTCTGGCTGTCGGAAACCTGTCCGAATATTCTGTTTGTACATTAAGACTCATTCAAAAATTCCTTGGAGTAAGTCATTTAATTAAAATTCTGTTGTAGTAGTAAATTGCTGCATATTACAGATTCACGTTTATCGTGACATGAACTTAAAAGAGTCACATTAGTTCAACTTCGGTACCGTTAACATATACTAACGCTTTGACATGTAAAGTCTAAATAGACGAAAAACTAATATTAGGAGTTTCACAATTTACCTCATGGACTGGTCTTATTTAATTAACTACCAAGAGTCCTGGCGAGAAGTCGTAACTAGTGGAGCTTATCCTTGTCAGATGTGAGGCAGTTACCCACCTAAGTTAATGGAAAATAATCACACAATATCGTGGATTGGTTGAAGTCAAACATAACACCGTTGGATGCCCGCCCAGTGGTCTGGAGGTTAATTATTCGCGCACGAGACCGAAGGTCCTGCCTTCGGATCTTGCGTGCTAAGTCGATTCATAATTTCAAACAGTACTCAACAACTCTACACTGATAACTACTAAGAACCGGAAAGCATTGGATAGCCGTTCCATCCTGAAATGGGACTCTTGAGCAGCGAGTATACACAACCATACTGGGAATCAAATCCATAGCTTTCAGGTCTCGTGGTGACCACTTAAGCATTAGAACTACTGAGTTTGCATGGTATAATAGCAACTCCAATCAGTTTCCAAAATGGAGCGGCTATCATCCAATTCTACCGGTTACAACTGTTGGAAATCTCCTTAATCCTTATATACTGATAATATTCATTTTCTCACTAGTGACTAGTTTTGGAATATGACTCCCGGAGTTTTTGGTGAAAAGTTATGGCCAATCGAGTTCAGCCATGTTAGGTGTCAGACAGTTACCCACCGGTGATAGTATGGGGTGATTGTGGAATATTATGAATTCGTTAAAGTTAGAAGGATAAACCACTGGATGTCGACTCTTTCGTCAAGCTTAGACACTCGCTGCCACAACTGAACATCTTGGTTTCGATCTTCAGAGGTGGGTCATGAATATAGACTATCGAATGGTTTCATACTAGGGCAAAATAACTGTTCAGTACTTCCTTGTTCTCAGTGTCTGGCTTAATGAAATCAGTCCATGGTATGAACTATTAAGTCCAGTCATTTTCGCAATACCCTATAAGTAGTGTGATGAGATATCCGTCATTTGCAACTTTTGGGAAATATTTAGATTGAACGAAACTTCGTTTGAAAGTAATCCTACCAAGAAGACATATTTATGAAACGGTGTCAACTCAAGCCGGTAGGAATTGTGTTACGTGTTTTCTATCATGCTTCCTTTTTAAATATAATGTTTGCAAAGATCATTAGTTGGTTTAATAGATTCCAGAAAACTTGTTGCTTGGGGTTCGTCAGTTAATACAAAAAAATGTTACCTTTGATAAACAGAAATTACAGGAGTACATTTTTTTTAACTTTTAAAATAACTTACTGAATTGTGATAGCTTATTTCTACTTTTTGATGTCTGTTTTTTGACGTATTGAAACAATATATTCTTCGTATTATATCGTTAAGATTCTTAGTCTTCATCTATATTTTTCTGTTGTTTATATCTTAGACTGATTGATAAAGTTATTTTTTGTACTCTTCCTTTCAAATGATTGTTAAATTTCATCTTTGTATTGGTAGTTTACATACGATAGCAGCACACGTTTTGATGTTCTACTCCATTCAAACTTTGTTTTCCCTTTGTAACTACAATTTCTTATTTACTGCATATTGTGTCGTTTCTTAGATGTTTCTTATATCTTTCTGATGGTAGAAGTCGTAGAGAATATGGACTTATGTGAAAATGATATTATTTGAACTAGTCAAAATGGTGAAAGTTATTAAACTGAACTCTAATTCATAAATAAATGGATGAAAAACTGTTGAATATTTAAGATAAAATAATTCGTCATTCAGTCAGATTTCATATTAATATTTTTTCTCTGTTTTAGGTAACATTTAATTTTCAGTACCAAAGCCAAGATAATACTATCAAATTATCTGAAGAGAATGTGGAAGAGAACGAAAATGAGACTGATATAGATTCTAATTCAAAAATGCTTATTGCTACTTGTTTCGGTGCTGGTGTACAAAATATTAATAAATCTATTAGATAATATTTGACATTTATTCGTCTTTTTATCATGTTATGTAAATTAAATGTCGAGGCAACTGTTCTGGTAATATTCACGTTTTAGTAACGATCATTTACCCCAATTATTACGCAAAATATTGTTTCAAGGATTATTATATAACTAGCGAATTATTATGATTAGTTAAGGCATTTGTTGAAATAATATTCTTACGATATTCCTAACACTAAGTCGTTACTGTGCTCTCCAAAGCAATTCACTCTCACTGTTTGAATTATGACTTACATTATGATTAAGCCTTAAGCAACCTGTTTATTGTCACGTTAATGTAACAGTATTGACCTAATTAAAGTCAATGCATTTATAGACGCTTCTTGAGTGTCTGTAAGCATACTCATCGATTTCGGTTCTAATCCCGTATATCACTATATTCTTTATGCTAAACGATACTTGAATGGTCTCAATAATTGTGATAATCACCTAATATAGTAAGTAGAAACGTCACGAAGTATAAGAGGATAAATGAGTTTGTGTAAAAGTTCGAGTGATCAGCTGACAGAAAATATTTTGAAAGTTTTGTTACAAATCATTAGAATTTCTGAGGATAATGTTACTTATATCAGATCAGTTAATTAGGTTAAGGTATTTATATAAGCTAAAGCTAAACTTAGTGTTTTGAAGCAGATACAGTGTATGCTGGGCTCTGTCGTTCCCCATATTTTAATAAGAGACTTTTAGTCAATTGGTTAACACAAAGATTGGATTTTTATATACTGTGATAAGTGATGACAGAAATGAATATGAATTAGTCCTAGCAAAATTTGACCAAAATTTCCTACCTCCATTCTTTAAGAAAATCAGTTTCTTTGTTATGGTTGTACACTATGTATAGTGTATATCTATGTAGGACCGTCAAAATGTTTTTTGCAGAAGACCGGTGAATTCTTTAAATGCTTTCTGGAAGTATTATTTTGGTAATACACTCATTTTTTAGGTTTTTCAACTGTAAGTATATAAGCATTGTCATATCAATATAATAATATACAGGTTCGCAAAGTCATACTACTGTATATATCTAACAAAATTGATAGTTGTAGAGTATTTCTGCATTCCACTTATTTATATCTTTTCATAATTACCGACTTCTATTTGTGCGTTTAATTTCATGCACAACTAGTAGTTGTATCATTTTTATGCTACCAACAATAAATTTCGTACTAATTTTTTTTCATAAGTGATAAGACAGTTTCGTTACTTCATATTTAAATAGTTAACCCAAATGTGATACAATTTAAACATTTTGATAAATTTATTTATGGACATTTTTGTCGTTCCGCATTGTATTTCCGGACACGAACATTTATTATACTTTATTTTACGTCAGGTTTAATTTAAATATTTCGTTTCGTGTATATCTAAACACTAACATTTCATGTTCTTGTTTACTAAACTTACTACTGGATAATTAATAACCTCATTTCGTCTTTAAATCATGTGTCTTTATCAACAAACTTTCTCACATATTGCGCGTTAGTGTAACATAATGCCTGAAACAATCTGGTATATCAGCTAAAACCATAGTTATACTCATACATTAGCAGTTGTATTTTAAATACGTTTTGGAAAAAGCTTTTAACAGCTTAGAATTATAAATTGAGCTTTCAACTGTCTAACTGGATGTAATGAACTTATAAGTAACGAAAGTCTACTGAAATATTTGGGAAGAATATGACTTATTGGAGGAGGGGTTATACTTGGTCGTTTAACACAATTATTTATGGTTCTGGTATTTTAGAAAAATTAAACAGCAGTCCACTTCCGCTGGATTAGTTTTATATCATAATGCTTAAACATCTCTGTATTAACCATATCAGCATATAGTGTGGTAGTGCGGAAAGTTTTGTAGCAACACCTTAATAAAATCTTAAGAAGACTGAATTTTTATTGTGATTAATTGAAAAAAAATTTTGAATTAAAACTACCATCCGTTAAAAATTTTGAACAGAAGAAATTATTTGTAAATATACATTAAGATTTGAACATTTCTAATAAGCTAGGCTATGAACATATATTGGAAGTATCATGAATGTTCCCTGGAAAAATATGGATTATGTTATTTTTATTTCCCATAGTAATTTAATACATACATTTTTCCGCTGAATACTCCATGATGGATTTCCTAAATTATTTACTTAATCTTCGGAATGATAGAATTTTACTGATCGAATGTGATTCCTGCTTTTCAGTGATTATTTGACTAAAGTTAGTAATGTGGTAGGGGATTGTATATTGTTTTAGAAAACCAACCTGAAATTCTTAGGGTCATGTTTCATTATAGTCATTTAATTTGTATTACATTCTCAATCTCTGTTTATCTAATGAGTTCATAGTCGAACCAAATTTATTATTTTCCGTGTCCTGAAATATTTTTGAAACTATAATAAAGTTATTTCAAATCACTAACAAATAAATAGGTTAACAAAAAATTAATTTAGTGAAAAAACATAAGTTAGTGTAATGAGTGTTTTCTATCAATATAAGGCGAAGAAAAAGGTATTATCGTTTAACAAACAGTATTAACAAGATATTCACCTGTCGGTTTTTAACTGACTAATTGAAAAAGAGAAGTAACTGAGTTTCAGGAGGAAGTCTAATTTGTTTATCTGTGTGTAATTGCAACGAGGAATTATTTTATGGAGTGACTGACAAAAATTATCGAAATAAATTCACCTTAATCTAATGAAACTCTGGTGATAATTTTTTTGAACCACATTTGTAACAGCTCGGCACGTTTCGCAGCCACAGCTAGAACTTTTTCGTGATTTATACTAACATCATTTTCTGCGTCCAAAATACTATTATTTGCGATTAGTGAGACAGCAAGCACTTTGATTCCACAATGACATGCAATTATTACTTCTGGTACAGTACTCATGCCTATAAAATAACAGTTAAAATGATAAGTTATGAGTTGTGTCATGATAAATTCATTATAATATGTTTTAAATAGTAAATATGACATACATTCAATATGATTTCAACATATATGTAACAAAATAAAATTTAGCTCGGTAAAAATGTGACATGCAAGTGTAATGGCCTTTAAGCTCATACTACTTATACGAGTCCCAGAAATACTCTCTGACTATTCAAACTGAAGTAGATGTTTGCATTGAATTTTTTCAAAAATTTTGTCAATACAGTTCAAGTATTAGCACAATTAAATAACTGGTCCTACGTTTTTGGTTGATGATTTTTTTCTCAGCCATACTGGTATATTGTTATAACTGAACAAAACATTGTTGCGGCTACTTATTATAACTGGGCAGATAATGAAAAAAATTGACTCAAGGTAGGAGAGAAAACTAAAGATGAAAATTTTATTTTTCACCAACAATTAATCCACAGATGATGCAACAATTATGTATAAATTATACTGAATTACATATCCTTAACTTCTTTGGTCGATAGTCATATTTAAATGCAGTGAACTGGGCAGTAGTCTACATCAATTAACCACTAACTTAATTCAGGTATGTGGTTAGCAAAATTAGTATATCAAACCGGTTTAGCTAACAAGTTTAATAATCGCTGAGTTGCATGTTTCCGCAATCTTATAATATATGTCTGAATAGGTTCGTTTATTCACCAGAACACTTATACGTAAGGGAGACTTTATGTGCACAATGTAGAGATAGTAATTCAGTTAATAAGTGAATGTAAGTAATATTTTTGTTACTAATTTTTGGATATTACTGGGTTAGTGGAAATCGACTGCCATATTTATATTGAGACAAGTGAGCAAAAGTTATTTGACATTAAAAAACAAATATCTTCATTCACCACAGCATCAAGCAATCGAATGTTAAACTAGAAACTACTGTACATGCAGTAAAAGTAATCAAATTGGAGCTCTAATAATACAACAATGTGATTGGGTAAAGTATCATAGCTTCATGAGTTGTACTGTAAACCATATCTGTTAGTAGAAAGCGAAATTTTACAACTCTGAAGTTCAAAGCGTAAGATATAACGAATCAGGGTGTCGACATGTAATTCAACCACACAACAGTTTCGTAACCAATGATTTTGGCTCAGTAGGTTATATGCTTTTAAAAATGAAAAGCATTTGTGACTCCCAATTAAAGTGTACCTGTAATTTAAAGTAGGATAAACGTTTGGTAAAATGAAAATTGATAGGTATGTATTTATAAATCTACTATCGAAATATATATAAAGTCTGTCCAATTGATAGCGAAATCCCCATTTCAAATTATTTTGTCCAACTTATGGTGGATAAAAATTTAATGAAATTACCAACAACATCACAGTCCAACTTGAGTAGCATATTGGACTCATCGGGAGTTTCATATGTAGGACCACCATTAAAAGCATAAACACCCTCGCGAACCAAATCCTGAAAACCGTATTCCTGTGCTATTTTTAAAGCCAATTGTCGCAAAGGACGATCATAAGCATTAGATAGGTCGGGAAATCGAGGTCCGAATCTGTAAAAGTTGAAGAGGAAATTGGAACCTACTCATCTTGATTGGGTCCAACCAACACATTATTTAACCCAAGTCCAGGAAAATTTATATGACCCTTTATTATTACAAAATCTCCACTTTTAAGCTCTCTATTAATCCCACCAGCTAAGTTGGTAATCATAAGAACTTTAACTCCCAAGAGCTTCATGGCTCGAATAGGAAGTGCAATCTGTTGGATATAAATTTATTACCGGTTACTCACTTCTTCGTTTGAATATCCTTCATACATATGAAATCTCCCTTGCATTGCAACTACTTTGCGACCACCAAGACTTCCAAGCACTAAGTTTCCAACATGTCCAGCAACTGATATTTGTGTATAAAAACGTTAAAAAAACTAACTGGTTGTTCTTGGGAAGTTTGGTATATTTATGTAAGGGATTGTCTTACGTTCTTCTATCTCTTCGACTAATTTACTGAGACCACTACCACATATAATTCCAATATCTGGTAATACGTTTGACACTGATTTAATATAATCTGCTGCCATAGATGCATTTTCATAGTTGGCGGCTACTGGAGTAGTCCTAATATTAGACAAATTTACTGATGTGTTGCTAAACTTACATGACACAAGGACCTAAATACCACCGAAGAAAGAAATATACATAAAAATACTTGTGAGTCAAATGTTTAATGATAAATATTGAATATAAGAATTTTATGCTGAAAGTTTTTGTGAGTAAGAAAATTAATTTTTAATCGAAAGTAGCTGACTTCAGATAAATCTTACTAAAACACCCAGCTTATTTTCATAGAAAAAGCCGTTAAATCATTATCTACATTATAAAGATTACAGGTTGGTGTGATTTAACACTTCAAAGTGTGTGCAAGAAAAACGATGAAATTAAACACTAGTTGGAACCAACCATTTCTAGAGATTCAAAAATGAGAAGAATATGCAAAATGATTCATTTACCATTGGCTTTTAAATTATTATAAAGAAAACGTTCATATAGAAAATGCAAACATTCCCTGGGAAGATTGAAGTTTTTTGTAGATGCTGAAATGTACCAACTACCCAAATAAATAGTATAAGGGCATGAAAGCGATTACTCCAATGATTTTTAATTAACGTATCTCAAAGAAGATTACAAAAACAAGCTCACCGTCAGGGCGAGTCACTTTTATGTTCGTGGTGCTTATACCGTATTCTAGACACTTGAATTTATCAAACAGCGACTCAGAAACGATACAGGACATTCAGTCTCAAGACTTACTCATACTCTTTTTCACGATAAAAGTGTGATCATAAACAAAACTGATGAAATGTGAAGTTTCCGAAACAATATAATGGATGAATCCTTTTAAGTAAGGCGATTTTTCAAAAATGAAGGATTTCAAAACATGTCACGCAGATTAATAATACCACTTAAAAATTCATTACGTACCAGATCAACAATAAAGAGCATCCTTCAAATAGTGATAAAATATTGAGATTTTGGCGGGCAAAGCTGTTTCAAACGAATTTTAAAATTCTGGCATACATTTAATATCATATGGTATTCCACGACACATTCAAGCATTGCAGACCATATGTAGCAAGCAATTTTAAATGCTTCGAACTTCAATTTCTCTCATAGGTTTATATGACAGTAATCGTGGTGAGTTTTGATGAACAAACGACAACATGAGTGTCCAAAAACGTGACACAATTTGAAAAATTCTTCCCTAATTTCATCAACGTTGGTGTTATTCATAGTGAGGAAAAAATTAAACGAATGAAAAAAGGAAGGAATGTTGAATAATTGTGAAGTTACACGTTATAAATTTTACCTAATAGAATTATGGAACTATTTCGAAAGCCTTAAAGATTTCAAATGAACGACTCCGTAAAATATCCGAGACAACCTCAAACATTCGGAATTTATCAGGTTTTAAAGTGTGCGATTTAACGAACAATACATCAGACTATCTGTAACACGGCCTTATAATCTTAATAAGGTTTATCTAAAACTGAATATATTATATGTACACCGGTTCTGTGTAACATTAGCCACTGTAGCTGATATTAGTGTTTCTTGGCATTCATATTATTTTTTCAAATACCTGTTATACATCAAAGTGAAAAATAATTTTAAAAAAAGGATTAGACAAACCTACCGAAATTGTGTGTCGTGATATCAGCTGATGTTTTTCAAAATGATGTAATGACCTTAACAATGAAATTATTTTGTAGCGAGCTCGCTTAAACATGTTATGTCGCTACGCACACAGAGTCATTATCGGTTGTATTTGACATTTTGAGTGGTTTAGTAAAAAAGATATCCTAGCTTAGGGAGGAATCACCTTTTTTCTACAGAGTTTATAGATTTGTTGTCGATAGAACGACTGATTTCTTCCGGCCATCTGTTTGAAGTTGATGTGCAATTCTAGGCATTCGATATCGTTATTTGTGGAAGATTCAGCTACTTGGCCACACGCATACTGCTGACTTTGATGGTTAATTCGGAGCAACATTTTTTCGAGTATTTTTGTTTGCTTATGTCCTAGGTCACGGGATTAACTTAGAAGTTAGTTTTTGAGGCATCAAAGTTTTAAAGTGGGAAGAATCAAGGATTAAAGAGAACATGACTATGAGAACAGATGAAAGAACATTTTACACAACCATTTTGAACGGACAAATATCTGCGTGTTTGTAAATAAAGAATAGGTCAGATTGGCACCAACGCATTTTATTTCGTTTGGTTCTCATCGTGTGCTTAGGGCCAAAAATTTTACATGCGCACTAGGGTAAAAACGTTGAAATGTTGATAAGCATCGTAATGAGAAAATTTTGGCTCGCAATTATGTAATGAGATTGAAAGAGTCTAGTGTGAAATATATTCTGAATCATCAGCCATAGTAATAAATGACCGAAGGGCCAAAAAATTAACTGGGTAAATTTAATCACGTGACTATATAGATGAACGCTAACTAAGTACCAGAATGACTGTAATCAGTTACTTAAAATAAATTTAGCAATTCGAACAAAATCAAATAGGAACCAAAATAAGAGATCATTAAAAGTATGATTTAGCAAGCTAGTGATAAAATCACAGTCATGAAGATAGGTTTAAACCACATCCTCTTCAGGATAGATGAATTTAGTCTTAGGTTTAAGATATTTAAGGCTATGTCGAATTTCGAAAGAACTGGGTACTGTTATCGAGAAACGATCAAGAAAGTTTTCATAATTTTAACCTGATGTCCTGTATCGACTTGGTGTCTGAGATAGTACTTCTGAGATGCTCCAATCTCACTGGACTGATTTTTTGGTAGTTGCACTTGAAAATAAACATAAGCACATCCTTCTACCCTAGCAGATACATGTAAATTTATAAAAGCCGTCGGTGGTGATATGGGAGGAATGTACGTCGATATTTGATTGACTGACAGAGAATTCATGAAGCAGACTATCTTCAATGTGAAGAAGTTTGACTTCACGTAGGCAGTTGTTTATAATCAGCGACTTGTCGTGCGTCATTTCATGAACTGCAGTGTCGGCGCACGGACAGAATATTTTAGTTTGGCTGACTAGAACTGCTTAGTATGTTGTATACCGTTGTCAGTTCATTTTGGATTATCAAATATTGCGGAGTGGGCCTTTATATGGTTAGTCACTTAATCCAATTACGTTCTTTAAAACGAATCCCTAGGCGTGTCTCAAAAAGTCATATTTTCTGCAGAAATCGAAAGTAACAGCGTTTTGGAGTCCTTGACCTTAAATATTGTTAGACAGAGCCCAGTAGTCAATATTATCTAGTCACAAGAAGGCTTTCTTAATTCAAGATAGATATAAGGTTTGTTGTTATGATAATTAAAAGCATTTGAATTATAGTAAAGAATAAGAACACAGGAGGTAACGCAATTGAATCAAGAAATATTAGAACAAAGATACTATGTCTGGAATCCGAAATCAAGCAGACAGCAATTACAAAATAATCATTAGTTCATAATAATAATAATAATAATAATAATAATTTTATATTCTGAAGAATAATGATTACAGAATTCACGCCAGTTTACAGGCATGATCAATTTGATATAAATAATAACGTTAGACGTGCAGAACAAACATGTGATAAAAGAAAGTTTTAAGTATACTAGTTCAGTAGTTGTTTAAGTAGTACATATATTACAGCGATCCAATGCATCAGCCGGGAATTTTTAATATTTCTTAAATGGTCAGCCTGTTGATTTTTGAACGGTGTATTTAAGGTCAATTCGTATGCCAGATCGAAATAATGATAATTATCTACAACTAGAGAAATTAAAACGAAAACAGAAAGCACGGAACAACAAAAAAGTAATTACCAAAATATGTCAATCAGGTCTACCTAAATGCGTGTGTCATGTGACACAGTGATGTACTGTTTATGTTATTCAAATTAGTTAAAGTTGCTAGGGACGGTGTTAGCATAAAGTGACAGCAAGTAGGTGGTTTTACTTAGGGAATGCACTAAATGGATAAACATTTAAGGATCCTATAATACTACTTGTGGAATGAGATACACTTACAGGTGCTAGACCATTCAATGCATTTTCAGAGGAGCAGTATGCATCGATGCAGCGAACGAATAATGAGAGTGATTTTGTCGTGCGGATAGATTGTGGTAGGTTATTCGAGTCTAGAAAATTTACAGGTGAAGTAATTCATATAAAGAGATGATTAGGAATGAGTTTGTTTCACTAGTGCCAAGGAATTAAGGATGTCATAATGAAAAGTTTCTTCATATTGAATCGCGTGATTGGATGTAAACGATAGTTTATGCAGTAGTTTGAAGAAAAAGATAAGATTTAGTTTGAGTCTCCTCCTCCATAAAGGGTCTAGCCCAAGTTTATTAAATCTAGAATTATAAGTTAAGGCACAATCAGCTCCAAGAATACGAAGTGTAAATCGTCTCTGTACTGATTCCAGCCTTAATTTATCCTTTATAAGCGCACTGCTAAGAATAAACGTGCAATATTCTAGAAGAGGTCGAGCACAAACTTTGTACATTAGATTACGTGACTCATTGTTGTAAAGATTTCGAGTTATGTAACCTATTAGATGTTGAGACTTAGAGGTCTGTTTTAATATCTGTTCTGTAAACGACAAGTCTTGGGAGTATCTAAGTCCTGAGTCTACTACCGTATGTAACCTAGATAACACTACTCCACTTATGGTAATGTCTAGGTTGAGTGATGTATCGCCGAAGCATATCCATCCACATTTAGCCGTATTAAGCTCCAGTAGCCATTTTAAGCACCACTGTGCTAACTTGTTAAGCTCCATGCTGATGCAATTTTGCATATTTTTCAGGTCATGTGGAGAAAATGAATATACTACTTTAAGATCATCTGCATATAGAAGGGGCTTACCGACACAAATACTTTCACGTATATCATTGACAAACACTAAAAAGAGCAAAGGACCTAAGACATTACCTTGTATTACACCACTTCTAACAGGGACAGCGTTAGACAATGAAGAGTTAATTTTAACTATTTGATGTCGGTTGCTGAGAA